AAAATGAAATTATGCGCATTGAGTTGTTCGCCAGACCCAAAACAAAGGGGATGCCAGGATATATATATTTATATGTATTTATATATAGAGCTGCTTCTGCGTGTTCTACCAGATTTGTTTATAGCTTTGCATAAATACAAAACCCAAACATGGATCCCGGAGCTCAATGGTTTCCCCTCGAGAAACACCGTATTGATATTAAGGAAGGTAACGAATTTCCGGAAATTTATTTTCGGGGGATTAAAGTTTTACTTGCATTTTAGAGTTGAATCCACTGCCAAGTGCTTCCTCCATTGGCTTTCGGGTCATTACTTGACTTCTTGTCCCGCAGTTCGCCAACAACTTGAAGTCAGCTTAAAACTCGAGAGCTGGCTCACACACACACTGGATAAGACCTTGGTGTGAGTGCGTCAGAGTTTGCCACTGTAACTATGTCATTGCGGTTTCCTTAATTCATTTTGTTTGTAGGCGGCGCGACATTGTCACTGTCATCGTCATAGCCATCACCATCACCATCGCCATTGCCAGTGGAAACCGCAGTCCACTGAATGCCGAACCACCGCTGGCAAAAGAGATGGGAATATAGTCAGCGAAAGAGATGGCAGCACAACTATAAAACAAGACACTAAAAAAAACCAAGGTAGATAAGCAATAAATAAGTTAAATATAGAAGTCAAGCTAACACTTCAATTAAACTAGAAGAGTCTTGCGCTTTTTTTAAGTGTACCAAGTGATTGAGTCAGACGAAAAGGCTTCACCAGCTGTTGTTCTCGGCGTTGTTTTTAGTTGAATGGCATCGCTAAGCGGATTAACGCTGTTATTTTAAGTTCAACAAACGAAACGAAGAATAAATTAATGAGTTTCCACTGTGGTCGAGCAGACGGCATTCGGCACACCAAATGGGTTTAACAGCATAAAGCCAAAAGCCCAAACGCACACACAAAGCTCCGGGACTTCCTTTCCCTATCGAAATGTGTGGGTTCATGGGCGAAGTCCCAGCCATTAAGGACGCTCCCCAAGAAGTGTAATCTTTCCGTGATGCCCCGTGTTTGATATACCCTCGAATGATGGTTAAGGGATTCGATTTTTGAAATGGGGGCTACAACTTCTTTTCAAAGTTACCAGAAAGGAAGAGTGCTGAAAGGAGCTGCCTATCAATATAATTTTGTTTGGAGACACATTGCAATTAATATAAAAACCGGAAAAAGTTAATAGGCTGCTATCATCCGGAAATACTTTTATAAAAATGGGGTCAATATTTAAAGAAACTTTAAGTACATTTAAAAATCTTACCTGACCAGCTCGTGCTCTTACATTTCGTTTTTGGAAAGTAGTTTCTTTCCCAGTTTTTTTTCGTATTTACATTGTATTTGCAATTGCTATTGTTTTTGCATTGATTGCGCTTTGTATGTGAGTGCATGGAAATGCGCCGGACAGTGAAATTGTAATTAGTTCAAAATTTATGAGAACCCACTTCCGCATTTTTCCCCATCGAGGATCACGTTCATACTCGGAGTTTTTTATGTCTGCGTTGCCGTTGCCACGTCGAAGCAATTATTATTGGTGTGTACGAACATGTTTTCCTTTTCTTTTTGTTTTCATTTTCCCTTTGTTTGTTTTCTTTTTTATGAAAATTCTATGAATTTCCAATCCCAAATCGGATTACGGCATTAGCCGGACTCAGTGCGCTGAGAGGCACCGCGTAAAAATAGCAATTACAAGGGCAGCCAAAGAAAATAAAACTTTCGAAGGGCTGAAGGTTGCGGCAGGACCACAAAAAATACTGGCCAAGTCGGGAACACAAAAAATTGCCAATAATTTGAAATTTTATCATAATGATATGCAGCTAAGCCGTCAATGAAAAGATATATACAGGCGTTTAGCTGGTTCGATGTCGAGAGCAAAAAAGTTTGCAACGAAAAGCACAAAAAAACCGGGAAAATGGCAAAGGGTTGCAAAACTGAGCTGCGATGCAATTAAGCAGTTTCCGACAAATTGCTATCCAATATTTCTGGGCAGGACAAGGCGCCGGTCCCCGAATCCCCCTCGAGCCGCTCCTCCTGCCAGGATGCATCTTTCAGTTCATCCGCTCCGAGCTTTGACGAGCACAGCCAAGCGGATAATGGAAAGCGCTCCGCCTTTGACGGCTCCTGACTTTGAGCTGCGCTCAGATGCGAGCTCTACTTAGTCTCCCTAAGTTGCCACACACTTTTGTATCGCATTGCGAAATTCGCCACTAAATAGCGGGTAATTAGCCAAAGTTCTGAGCTCTGGTAATTAATTCTACGACGTGCTTGTTAGTCAATGAAATTGATAATTAGCATATTGAGTGCTTTAATTATTATCGAATCGGATTGGGATTGAAAAGGGAAATAAGAAAGAGTATGGATTTAATGTAAATTTATTAAAAACTGGTTAAAGGATCGGTGAAACTGGATTAAATTCCAGTTTTAAATTTCTTTTGAAGGATAAAATATCATGACAATCATGACTGATATTTCTGCTATGTTAAGCATGATTTTTAGCTCTTTAAAGACGGCTTTCCTTTTCAGTAGCCTCTTGAAGTAGACATGTTACTCAGCTAAGTTTAAAAAAAAAAAAGACCTGAAGTAGAAAAATACACATTTTTTAACCACTGCTTGAGATACAATCGACAAACGCTATTGCCTTTTAACCGGGTTTGTTTGTGTTTCCCTTCTCAATTTGCCACAAAGTAGTTGTCAGCCGGAATGAGGACGAAGGAACGGGCAAAAAAGATGTGGAGATGAAATTTACTTTAACGAACTAAAATTCCGTGAACCTTTGAGATGGCCAGAAATTAACTCAGTCGCTTACACTGTCACACAGAAAGTCAAAGCCAAAAGCCGGTGCAGAAATGCAGCAAAAAATACTTGGCTTTGATTCCTTGGCCTCCTGTCTGTGTCCCTTTCCTTCGGTTCGTTTTCCTTGTGTTTTATCTTGCCGGCTCCTCCATGGCATTCATTATGCCAGGACCCCGTCCACGTCCTTCATCTTCCTGCACCTAGTGGCCCCTCGATTCGCCTTCATTTATCACAGTTTGTGCGCATTTGTCGAGTCGCCTTATCCCGAGTGGGTGGCCCAACTTCCGCTGCCGCTTTGACAGCCCCCAGATCCCCGGGGCAAATCCAGAGACAAAATGAACATTTCTCTGGGGAAGAGTGGAGCAAGTGGCAATGGCAGTGGCTAGTGAGTGAGGCAAGTTGTCAAAGGGAACGCTTGGCGGAAAAATGTCTTTTAATTAGTGTTTAATTGAATTGCAAACTGGAATTTTAATCGAAAATTGCAGCGGGTCGACTTTTCCGCCCCGTTTGGCCCTAAAGTTTGCATTGTCCACTGAGCTAAATGGTTTGTTTGCTTTGCCAACTCGGCTTGGTCATTGATAGCCCAAAAGTCACTTGTCGCCTTCACCAAAGATTGCCAATGGACTGCGGTTAGATTTCCGAGATACAATTTGGAAATTGGGGTTTCTTGGCTGTATTCTGGAGGATAATCCTCAGGGTTGAGCAATATTTAAACGTTTGTTTCTGTGCGAGTAGGACCAAGATGATTAAGGTTAATTATATTCATCATTGGCAGTGTTGTTTTATTCGAATTTTATTCAATGAAACACAAGAGAAAAATAATCAAACGTTCTTTAGGAATATTAAGTGCACCTTTAAAGCCAAGGTATCCAGTCTCAAAAGCTCTAAATAGCAGGGCACCATTTGCCCACCCAGGTTAATTGATTATAATTACATACATGTCCTAATGCAATTCATCAAACGCGCATTGTCCCCGGATCTCTAGACCGACTCTAGGCCGCTCCTCCAGCTCTGCTGGTCTCCGCCTCCACCTCCCCCTCTCCGGCTCACCGGTTCCACGGATCTCATGGCCTCCAGCGGAACGCCCTGCACGCCTTTGACGACAATAATGAGCGTAATGATGCTGCCGGGGCTGCAGGCCATGCGGATGCTGCTGTTAATGCCACAATAAAGACCGCAGCATGGATGCCGATGGCCTTAGGAGCGCTAGCTCGGTTGAGGCTCAGGCTCAGGCTCACGTACAAATTGCATGATTACTATCAGGGATAATTAATGTTGATGCCACCGAGACTCAAACATGTTGGCCGACGGCGAACGGCGGGCTGTCCAACAAAAGGCTAACTGGGGGACCAGGAGTTCTGGCCAACTCCCGTCCTGAGGCCACATGCTGGCTTAGACCGTTGATATGGGGTTTCCCGACTGGAAGTCAACTGGAAGTTGTCAACTGCAGCCAGGCGAGTCGATCAAGACAACCCGTTTTTGTAGTTTCAATGAAACTGAAGTTGCTGTGACCTAACTGTGGTTTCGAGTGCAGATTTTTGGGATTTGGCGAGAAACTAAGCCGCCCGCTGGCAGCAATTAATGTAAATCAATTCGAATCACATAATGCCACTGCATAAATGCCAAATCATGGCAAATACGTGAGCATTCAGTGGCTTAGCCGTGTCCCAAATAGTTGCAAATGCCAATTGAATCGGGCCAATTATCTGATGAAGAGGGCGGGAGGAAAAGCCAGAGCACATTACACACAATTCTCAAATTGTTTGGCCTGAACACCGCACAAAACCGTACGTAATGTAATCAAACGTATTGAAGTTAATGAGCTACTTAACCGACTTCCACTTCCGTCAGCTCCTGGAATCCCATCCACTGTGGAATGTGCGGCTCTTGTGGTGAATCATATAATTATGGGATGCCTTCAACTGGGTCGAGGACCCCTGCCGACCACAAATGCCCGCAGTGAAGGTGAGCTTAGGCCACTATAAGCCACGGCAGGAGTTATCGCTTTAAATCAGATGCTGCTGGTGAGAAGCAATATTTAAGATTGGTATCAAATCAAATCCTTTCTCAAATCGCGATGAAGGTGAGTTTCAGGTCAGGGTGAGTTTCCAGCATTCGAAAACAAAAGAATTATAAGTACAACTAACTATTCAAAAACAACCTTTTCAAGAGCACCAACATAATATTTAATTCAGCTTAAGTTGCAGGTTAATGCAATGGGCCATGAGATCCTTGTCCTCCTTTGATGGAAATAGCCAACCCAAGAATTCCACTAAAATAGGCTGCTGTTCCACGACGGTGGAGTAGTCCTCGTAGGAAATGACCCCATCCTTGTCCAGATCAAACTTCTTCATGATAAACTCGGTCATGTCCTAGCAGATACGATAGTTATTCGTTACCAACCATCAGCTTAAATTACCTCTTAGATTTAATGCCTAAATATGTTTACTTACTGCCTTAAGCTCGTTAAGTTCATCTTCGTCTTCACCGTAAAAAAATTTCTCACATGCCGTGCCGACTTGCTCACGATCAATAACACCAGTGCCTTTGGTATCATAGACCTGTGGAAAATGCCTATTATTGTATTTCCAATGCAAATAACATAAAAGGACCTACCTCGAAGGCAAATCGCATGCGCACATGAATGTCCTTGGTTGTGTAGAGATCGAAGAGGTGAATCCAGGCCCTGGGACTGACATACTTCGTATCCTTTGTGATTGCGAGCAGAGTCCGCTCAATCACCTGGACACTGGCCACGTTGAAGAGCACCAGGAAGATCTGGTAGAACTGCTTCTTGGTCATCTGCTTGCACTGGGGTCCATTGGCCTTGGAGAACTTGTAATAAACGACGAGCAAGCAGGTGATGTCCGTCTGGGACAACTCCGAAGTTAGCGTTAACTCCTTGATCAAACTTCCGTAGAGGGCCGCAAACCGACTGTTCTCCATGCTATCTATGGTGGCGTCTAGGTTTTCCATAACTGCTAGTTGTTTTTTATTACTTTTACTACTTTTAAACTTTTTATTTGTGTGTGTTTTCTTTTTCCGTTTTTTTTTTTGTTATTTTTGTGTTGTGGGTTTTTGTGATTGATTTTGAATGACAATGTCTGAAAAATATTTCGTACAAATTCAAAGGGTTCCTGCGACTCATTTTTTCGGAGTTCATTTATGGAAATATGGATGCATATCCAATCACGGCTAATGCGCGTCCTTTACTGGTACATTACAATGAAGATGGTAGAGGATGCCTTCGATCCTTTAAAGTGTATATAGAGCTTAGATCAGGACCACTTGCAGAGTAGGAACATCGAGATATTGGAAAGCTTCAACCCACTGTAACGCCTTTTATATACTTAATTAAAAGAGCAACAATTGGAAGCATATCTAAGACACCTTACGCGAAACATTTGCTTTATTTTCAAACTGTCGGTGAAAATTTTAAGTAGCACGGATATAAAAATGACTAATGATTAATTTGTAATCATACAAAAATTTGGGAAACTACTTTGGGGCATCGTTTTAGTCCTTATTCTTTGACAGCCATTCGATTATTCACAATGGGGTAATCAGGTCGAATGGCAAGCTTATTTTGAGTCAGGGTTACAATAATTAAGCATGGAGTCCATGTTGATAACATGGGCCATAAGATCCTTTTCTTCGTTCGAAGGAAAGAGCCAGCCCAAGAACTCAACCAAAACGGGCTGTTGGGAAACAACTGAGGAGTAGTCCTCAAACGAAATGACTCCATCCTTGTCCACATCAAACTTCTTCATGATAAATTCAGTCATGTCCTGTGAGGATTAAGTTGTATTAAATGATTATAAATTGATAAGTATGCTTACCGCTCTAAGCTCAATTAGTTCATCCTCGTCATCGCCTTCGTGGAAGAATTTCTCGCATGCCACGCCCACCTGCTCGCGATCGATAACTCCGGTGTTCTTGGTGTCATAAACCTAAGAAAGAACCCAATTAGCCTTCCAAAAGTGTTCAACAAGCTAGTACCCACTTCGAAGGCAAACTTCATACGGCGATCAAGGTCCTCAGTGGTATACAGCTCAAAGAGATCAATCCAGGCCCGCGGACTAACAAACTTGGTATCCTTCGTGATCGCCAGCAGGGACCGTTCAATCACCTGCACATTGGCCACGTTGAAGAGCACCAAGTAGATCTGGTAGAACTGATTCTTCTTCATCTGCTTGGCTCCAGGCCCGTTGAACCTGACGAACTTGTAGTAAACGCAGAGCAAACAGGTGATGTCCAAAGTGGACATCTTCGAGGTTGCAGCGATGTCCTTGATCAATCCGCCGTACAGGGCCGAGAAGCGACTGTTCTCGGTGCTATCGATAGTGGAGTCTAGGTTTTCCATGGTTCAGGTTAAGCCTTGATGACATGGATTTACTACTGGAAATATGTAAATGTTTGCTGATCGATCGAGGCGTTCCAATGATTTGGAACAGTTGAAGTATGTTTTCGTCGCCTGCTTTTCTTGAATTTGAAAATATAAAAGAAGGCCCTCTTAAAGCGATTGGTTCCAGTTTCGCTTCCGCGCCATTTGTCTTACTTAACAAATTTATGCCGAAAGTCTCTTCCAAACACCGTACGAAAATATATCAATCAAAACTCTATACCAAAATCCATCCCAACTCGGCTGTAAATCCGCCAACACTTGGCGATGTCAACTGTGGAGACATTAAGGAGCGTGAAGCCTTGCCGCCCTTTCTCCTTCCCCTTCCCCTTCCCTCTGATTTTATTGTTATTATGCCGTGTCGAGCGGCTCAGCCGCCCCCTCATTTTTTTGGTATTTTGGTGGGCGTGGCACGTGTGAGTGTGTGTGTTTCGAGGGGGCATACAATTACACAACAAAGGGAAGGAGATTCCGAACATTTGTTACCCCGAACAAAATGGCTACACAGCCATTTCCGCCGAATTTCCACATGGAAGGCTTTACACCCATCTCGGCGCTTTTGTTTGGATTATTATATTCGCGTTTCTCATGCGCACAGCTTTCAGCTTTTGCCTCAGCCTTTGTGCGTTTCAGGCGGGTTTGTTTCAAATATTTATTCGAAATGGGGGACAGATGTAGTCCATGTAGCGTGGCTGATGTATTTTTTATGTCGCGGCGTTGTTTTATTGCTTTTAAATTGCGCTCGTTACATTCCCTGCGAATCCTTGGGCTGCGGCTGCGACTTACCCAATCTATTTGCAATTTGTCTTGCATAACCCTCACCCTTTTAAGCAGGCCAGAGCCTCATAAGTTAAGCATTTTCATCACAAACCCGAAACACACGCCCCATTACACAGCACTCTCTTCAAAACATTTTAAATAATAATTACTTGTTTATAATTTCCATAAGAACACAATGAATCGCATCGACCTTACCCTGGATGACATGGCCAACAACAAGTTCCTCACCATGTACAGTACTCTGATCAAGAGCTTCGCTGCCTCCACGGAGTTTTCCACCAGCGAAGTGGTCAGCTTGCTGATCGTGTTCTACAAATACGCCCTCAACAACAGATCCCGCATGATGTCCACCAGTCAGCTGTACAATCTATTCCTCGTCAGCTTTGGGATCTTCGACGTCACCATCATCGACCGCATTTCGATGAATATCACGCAGGACGGCCGATCAGTCTCTCCAGAAGCCTGGATGCGGCTGTTCTGCGTGTTCTTCACCGGAAATCTGCAGGAGCGAATAAAGTTCGCATTCGAGGTGGTTCCCCCGAAATCGTGGCTACTCCATTACTAAATTTCCCTACGTACCATAGGTTTATACAAGTGGTGGTACAGTTGTGCTCAATCGCGAGGTGGTCGGCGTGGCCATTGAAAAATTCTTCACTGGCGATGACGACGAGGAGGTCAATGAACTGCGCGCGGTGAGTTTACTGAAGGTATACTGAAAATTGTGCTTGCATTTCAGCACCGTTTCCGAGCAGGACATGTGCGAGTTCTTGTTCGGAAAATTCGACACCGACAAGGATGGAGTGATAGCGTTTGAAGAGTATGCAGAAATTGTCAAGAATCAGCCTGGCCTGCTCGAGTTTTTGGGTAAAATATTCCCGGATGACAAGGACCGATCATTGGTGGCGTACTGCCACAACATTGAGTCTATGTTTCCGCAAGAAGGTGAATATTAAAGGAAAGACAGCGTTCTTTGTGGGAAATTCTTCGTATTGCGCATAATTTGATACATTCTCAGCCTGCTTGGGATAGCTTTCATAAAATAGCGCAAGTGTTGAAAATTGGCGCTTAGAGGCCTGCAAGCCGGCTTACAATAAAGTCATTTTCCATTAAGTACACACTGGGAAAAGTTGAAATTGCCTCCGCAGACTGCGACTGCCGCTGCGGGCTCCACTGTTGTGTTTTTGTCCCGAAATCTGTGTCTTGTGTTCATGTTCAACTCCTTCCAAATGGATTTCGATTGTGTGTGGGCGGTGCGGGTACTTTTGTTTGTCTATTTTGCGGCTTTGTAGAGCAATTAAATTTGCGCAACATATGCGGGCTCCGGAGGCCAAACAAAAAACTCACAGACCCAGCAATATTCTAATTAAGTTCCCCCAAAATTATTCGAGTATGTATGGCGGTTGGAGATGGAAGGGAAAGAATTTCCTACGTATATTACAAAATGTTCGCACTTTGAAGGGTAAATAAAGGAAACAAGATAGAATGCTATTGTCCAGTTTCCCGACTACCAGATACCCGTTACTCAGCACATAGTGGAAGTGCAAACGAGAAAAATCAAAATTTTCTGCAATATCGGTAGAAATTGGGGAAAAAATTATAAAATGAAAAAAAAAAAGATAGAATACTATAGTCGAGTTCCCCGACTATCACATACCCCTCACTCAGCTAGTGGAATTTCCAACGAGAAACTTCAAAATTTTCTCAAATATCGGTAAAAATTAGGGAAAAAATTTAAAAAAATCTTAAAAATTTTTTAAAAGTATGGGCGTGAGAGTTTTGTGCAGCAAGTGGGCGTTAGAGTGGGCGTCAACATTTGGAAATAAACTTGCGCTGCGTCTATGTCCCTGGAAGCTGTATGCATAATCTCAACATTCTAGCGTTTGTAGTTCCTGATATCGAGGCGTTCATACGGACAGACAGACGGACATGGCCAGATCGACCTGGTATTGATCCTGATCAAGAATATATATACTTTATATAGTCGGGAACGTTTCCTTCTGCCTGTTACATACTTTACAACGAATCTTTTACTCTACGAGTACCGAACCAAATGGAGTAAGGAGTAAAAGTAAAATTTGCTCCTATAACATAAGTACTTTGGTTTTTAATTGTTGATGGCATTAAACTTCTTACATATATGTATGAAAGGCTAAGCGGAAGTAGGCAGAATAAAAATAACTAAACTGAAATAAAAAGAATTTACCAAACATATCGGATGTGATATCCAAAGGCCCTGTTCTCCGCAGAAACATTTCCTGTCAGCTGAAATTTTGTGGCGATTCTGCGCCACTTGGGCGAATTGCTTAAGAACATTTCCAACACGAGACACTGTACTGCGGTTGCCTTTCAGATTTCTATCCATCTATCAATTGCCGTGCGTGCGACGGGGCGTATGTGCAACCTCGAAATCGAGAGCGCAGAACTAAAGTTGGCCATCAAGTTGTGTGGGGCAATCAGAGAGATGCCAGAAATCGGATTGCCTGGAACAACAATTTGGTGACCCAGAGTCATTGACACGCCTCGTTTTCGGGGCATTGGCTGGGCATTAAATTCAGCGCGTGACTTTCACCCCAGACATTTGTTGCTGGCCCGCCCCAGAAAATTCAGCACGAGCCCGGTCTGGGATAATGAAAAAGGGATCTGAAAAGGCTCAGTAGAAAGCATGAAAAGTGACCGCGACATCCAGCTGGGAGCTGCCCCACTCCTTCTTCGTTTTCCTTTTTTTAACTGGAGTTCAGAGTTCGTCACGACTTCGCCACTTTGCTGCAAAAGGGTCTTTGGCTTGTTGTCCTTTTTCAGCGTTAACACGCGGCCTCCTGTTGCATTTCAG